CGACCCCATAGCATTCAGCTGTTGGGGGAACAACACGTTTCCTCAGATTTGGATGGTGTTTCGAGGTGTTGACAGTGTTCCGCTGTTGGCTCGCGTTCGCTTTTGAAATCTGCCCTGCTTCATTTCCCGTCATTTGATGACAATCTGTTTTCGAGTCGGACAAGCACAACCATAGGTGTCCTTTTTGGTTGCTTTGGTCGAAAAATGGATGGGAATTCCTGGTTTACGTGGTGGTTGAATCACCTACCAGGGCCATCTATTTCCCCTAAAAGGACACCTATGAGCAAAACCTTTAAAGGGGAAGTATATGAGGGCCCCTTTTCCGTGCACGCTTCAGGAGGAGAAGCCGGTGATGAACCTCGTCACGGCTAAGCACCATGGCTTCGAAGAACTGAGCGAGTTCTGGGAAGGACTTGTTTTTGCCTCCCTTCTATTGACGACATGGATCATGCCCCCTCTACAAGCCACAAGCATCCATTTCTTTGGTGCATGTTGCTTGGATGTCAGGACTTTAACTTTTTGCCCACTAGTTGGGTTTTCCGATTTTTTAACCACTAAAAGTTAGTCACTTTTAGCAGAGCAGATTTCGCCACCGAGATTTCTGAGTATAAGAAAAGGGGTTTCAGGCGGATACTTCCGTGTAGCCATCACTGACTTTGCGAGTCCAACTTGCGGCGTGCAAGTCGGCCCGGCTATGGCTGGAGAGAGAAAGAAAGGCAGAGAGAGAAACGGCGTTTTTTGCAGAGAGAAAAAACACGGGGGGGGAAGCTGGAGAGTCCGACGAAAGAAAGGCAGGTCACAAGTTTCATGTGGCGCCTTTGGGTGGTGACTTTGGTGCAACAGCAATTTCCTGCTTGCCCGCCCGGATTGCGAGCAATCTTCCAGGCGTTCGGTGCGAAGTTTCTCAAAGTAGGGGTGTCCTTTTTGGATGGTTCGAAGGGGGACCACAAGCAAACCAAAAAGGTCTCCAATTTTGAGACATGTCGAGTTTGGATTAAAGATGCCTGAAACACGCATGGCCCCTGCAATACAGACAACCCCCCCTCCCCGGGCACCCTAAAAAGGAAGCTCCAGCAATCAATTGGAGACTCGAAAATCAAAAGGAAGCTCCAGCAGTACCAATTCAAATGGAGACTCAAGTAACATCTCAACAGGAAGCTCCAGCAATACTGAATCCAATGGACACTTAAGTCCACAAATGCCCAAAAACAAATGGACACTCAAATTGAATCTTAAAAGGAAGCTCCAGCAATACTTAACAAGTGAACTGAAGCCCTCAAGATGTTAATCCAGACGCCTCCTTTGTTTCGCAAGGGCCCTATACTAATTTGAACTCACCATGAATCACCTCAAATTTGCCCTTTGGAAGCGACCTCAGTTTGGCAAACTCAGGCGACCTGAGTTTCCCTTGGTTGGGAAGGTCGCGTGTTTCAACACGCGGGTCAATCACCTTTGCTTCGGGCGGATATAAGCTTTTCTTTTTTCCTCGGGCGGTCCAACCTTTTGACAGGTGGGAGGTGCGTTTCTTCGAGGGTGGTACCATTTTCACCTTGATTGGGGAAACCAACATTTTTGTTTTGGGGGGTGGTCCCTCTATGTTTATCACCTGGCACATGGCCAGGTATCAGCTTTCCATTGGGTAAATTCCGGGTGTTTGATTCGGACAGAAATCCAGTGACCCTTGGCTTGGAACCGCAGGGGCTATCCCCAAAAGTGGTTGCTTCGATTCCTGCTGTCAGAACCCCGTTTTGGATAGTTGTTTTTTTCTCTTTTTTTTTCTGCGGTCACTGGTGAATTTCAGGGAAGTAGGGATGCATTTAACCTACACACGCCTTGGCATGGAACCTGACGTTCGGGGGGGTCCTAGAAGACGACTTTCCTTGTAAAGGGACCACCGCACGCCAGGTTCCACGTTGATTGGCGGGTAAGTTGTGTGATTTGCAAACTAAGGCATGTGACAATCATGATGGGAACCTGGAACCTATCTAAACCAGTGGCACACATGAGCTTGTCTCACCAAGCTAATGTAACAGGACACCTATGCCGACCTTTTGCAGGGTCTGAAGGAGTTGGCTACGGGTTGGATGCCATGTCCAGGAACTTTATCGTGGCCAACGCCGTGGAAGTCATCCTAGCAGCTCCCAAGAAGCCCCTTGGCCCGGTAAGTTACGTGGGACAGGGATGAGGTGTGCCAGGAAACTTGACTCTAGAGATGGGCATTGGTCAAGTCGGGGCACCCGAAAATGGCGGATATCCTGTGGTCCCGGTGAACCCGCCCAGCCCTAAACAAGGTATCCCTTTAGAAACACACACACACACACACAAACACACACGCACACATGCGCAGGTGTTTTTTTTGCCTGTGGCAGGGGGGTGTTGGCCTGCTTGAGCCACGCCTACGGTGGGATTCCATTTTCAATTTGAGACCCGGGCACCACAGGAGAGAGGTCCTTTTGCAGAGGTGTGCCAAGCTACCCCACACACACGGGACATGGCTTTGATGCCTGAGGGACTAGTTGCAACGTAGCTTTCACCCTTCCTGTCTTGGTGCAGTTGCCAAGAAAAACCGTTTTAAATGCAAGTTTTCATGGGTCGGTTCATAGAGCAGGATTCCTTCGACATGCATTCTTTTCTGGCTAGGCCAAAGATGTGTCCTGTTTCTCCGCCGTAGACGGGATTTCATTCTCACTGGCCGAGGATTCTTCGCCTTTGTGTTTGCATGTGGGGTGTAGAGGAATGCCTGTTGGAACTGTTTTCTTTCTTTGTACCTTCCCTACATCCTCAAAGTGGTTGTTCAATTTGGGACTCCCCCTCAATTCAATCTGCCATGATCTTTCCCACGCACCATTTCGGGGGTTAGTTGATCGAAAGCACATGATGCAGCTCCAGTACTTTGATGCAATTCTTGTTTCCGGTTGTGGAGTTGTAGATTTTGCAGGTGCAGTGATCCCCGCTTGATTTTCCTTTTCCCCTTTGCCGCGGTAGACAATCCTCGGAAAAAAAAGAGAAACACAACAATGTGGAGGCCAAGAAGCGCAAGAAGGGTATGGGTCAGGTCGGACGGGTCGGGTTCCCCTTAATGGGTGGTTTGGGGGTTTGAACCCGTGGTTCTTGTGGAGTACTGAGAAGCCACCCAACCTGCGAAGGTGGCATTCGATGGCATTGAGAGAAAGACACTGCCACGCACCATTTTTAGGTGTCGGAAGGTTTTGCATTGTTGCTTCGCAGGCGTGCTGAATCTCGCATAGCTTGATTTGGCGGCTGAAAGGGAACCAGATGCCTGTAGCCAGTTGGACATGGTTGAAAAGCAGGGGTTGGTTCCCGAGCGGGACAGATGGGTACCCTCCCTACATGGCTGACGAGATGGTTTTGAAAGACAACTTTCCTTTTGGGGAAGCCACAAAAAGCGTCCAAGTCCACGTTGGTGGTTTGGGTTGGTGGTTCGGGATTTGAGCCCCGGTAAGCCAAATGAGGCAGGTACCCTTGGAAACGGTCCCGACCCTTTCCGTCCAAGTGGCCTCTGCATGTTTGTTGGAAGAATTGGGTAAGCAACACCATTTACTTCCCAATTCGCTCCCCTTTCATGTTTTGTCTTGCTTTCATGGGGTTTGTCTTGGTGTTTTTCCACCGGCCAGGCAATCGAGTTTTTTGCCGTTCGAACTCCAGCCAAGGCTGCCGGAGGGCTCCAGGGACTATCTCAAGAAGGAGGACAGTTCAGCGTTCAGGTCGATTCACGTTCCGTGTTCCAGTTTTGCTGGTTTCTGCGTTTTGTTGTGTTGGTTTTGTGGAGTTTGCTCTTGGTTCTGCTTTTCATGCTTGTAAAATGTTGCCTGGTATGCTGGTTTCTGTTTCTTGGTTTCTTCGAAGGGCTGGTTTCTGCCGATTCGCAGGGGAACTGGACTCGGGGACTCGGGGTCTCTCCGCCGCCTCCAGCACGACCTTTCGAAGGCTATGAATTTTGATGGTTGGAACCCCCTGAAATGTGGTTGGTGTCCTGTTTACTAATATCGGGGTGTGTTCCCCTCCAAAAGTGACAAATCCCCACTAAAATCAGGACACCTCCACAGGGGTTCTTTAATCCGGGGTCAACATTAAATCCCCTACGATGTCCACCATTTCGGGTCCCTAGTTAAACTTCATACCCATATATGTGTTATGTTTCTTGTCGGTTTTAAGGGGAGTCTATCACTGCTGGACATATTGACTTTTTTCAGGGGGCGTATCCGCAAATGGCAGTTCAGGTCCCCCCTCCAATTGGTGGTTTGGATTGGTGGTTTGGGGAATTGAACCCCTGGTTCTTGTAGAGGGTAAATTGGAAACCAAGGCATTGGCTTACACCAATCCCAATGCATGTAGGTAGTATGCACCAAACATTTGACCCAATTGGGGGGGGTAGATGTTATCTACATGGCTTGTCTGGGAATGCCTGCATGGTTTCTCTTTTCGAGGACCGTCGAACACTTTTATGCCACATGCGCGTAAAAAAAATCGGCACGCCGATTTGGCCTGGTGAAACCTGATTGCTCGGGTGTGCTTCAAGAGGGCGGATACATGAGATATGTATTTTATGTATTTCAGTCCTGTGGATGGACAACATCCCGCTTTGAAACCATGGGAAACCATTGTCTTGTGGTAACATCCTCATTCTAGGGTTTCTTAGGTGGTGCGAAATCCATTTCGCCCATGTGGCGAATCTTTTGGCGGTTCCTTAGCACGTTATATCTTGTGGAAAGTATTGGATCTTCAACGTTTGCCTGCGCACCGGGGGAAGCGAAGTTGCCCAGCGAAAATCATGATGGTTGTGGGTTCCAGTGCTGCCTTCTGTCCAGAGGGTCGGCCTGGTCATGGGAATCAACTACTTTAAGGTCAGAGCGCGGTCGTTCTCTCGAAGCCTTTGCCATATGCTTTACCCACGGTTTCGTCGAGTGAGCCGCCCTTCTGCGACAACTTGTCACTAGCTGGTCCTCGTTCCAGTCCCCGGCGTCTCCGGCCCGCCGTTGAGCCGTTTTGCCAGTTTCGCCGTTGTTTGCTTTCCCCCTTTCATTCCTTAAAGCGGCCATGCGCGTGCTGTGCGCCTTGCTCGCGGTGGCCTTGGCTGTGCGAGAAGAGCCGGGGCCTCAAAGAAATGGTCTCAATGGTCCAGCTGCCTTCGCGAGTGTGGAGGACCATCCTTTGAAAAGACCCCCTGTCCACTTCCAGCATTGAGGTTGGGATATCTTTTTTTGGGGTGCTTTTCGATGTTTCACCTTTGGGCCACTTGGACTGAGTTTCGTTACGAGGGATCTCCGCTGACCCCTACCCTCGACAGGTGCAAGGATTCTTTCACGGGCACCTGGAGTGAACCAAACAAGAGGCTCAGGCACTTTTCCCTCACTTCCTGAGTTCGTGAACTTTAAACTTTTTGGAATGACAATTTTAGTGGCAAATATAAAGTTTGGAATTTTTTTTGGGCCATCCACTCAGCCAGTGAGTTCCTGATCACGTCGACCCAGCGAACTGCAGAGGCCTACATGTCTTGGACTTCTCCAAGAAGATTGTTTGCAACCGGTAGGGAAGGACACACCGATGCCCGCGAGCCCCAGGAAACCAAAAGACACGGGGGCTTTACCCACCCTCCTTCAGTTGGAACCTGAAACACAAACTGTTTCCGGAGGCGGAGGGAGCCGCCCCTTTTTTGGGGTTCCACGCGAATGTCAGGACCCTTTCTCCCACTTGGTACTTGAGCCACTTGAGGGAAGGCGCCTAGATCCGTTTGCTCTTGGGACCGGGTCCCGAACGGAAAAATGCCAACGTGGGAAAAATGCCAGCCGAGGGCCAATGAGTATGTGGAGCTGTCCGCAGAGCAGGAGGAGATGCTGGATCAGGAGCGCTTGGCTTGGAGAAAAAAAATCGCCATCCCGTTGTATGGACGGTCCGAATCCCTGTTTCGATACATTCCCAAATAGAATCAGCACTGAAAAAGACCCTGCGCATGGACTCTTTGTGTTTTTGTACCCCCCTTGGCATTCTTTGAAACCCACCCTCTTGGGTTGCACAGTCCAAAAAAACAACAACACAAACACAAACACAAACACAAACCAAAACCAACAAACACAAACAGAAACAGAAACAGAAGCAGACACAGAAACATAAACAGACACAGAAACAGAAGCACAAACATAAACACAAACACACAACACACAACACACACAAACGCACAAACACACAAACACACAAACACACACAGACACACAGACACAGAGACACAGAGACACACAGACACACAGACACACAGACACAGAGACACACAGACACAGAGACACACAGACACACAGACACACAGACACACAGACACACAGACACACAGACACACAGACACACAGACACACAGACACACAGACACACAGACACACAGACACACAGACACACAGACACACAGACACACAGACACACAGACACACAGACACACAGACACACAGACACACAGACACACAGACACACAGACACACAGACACACAGACACACAGACACACAGACACACAGACACACAGACACACAGACACACAGACACACAGACACACAGACACACAGACACACAGACACACAGACACACAGACACAGACACACAGACACACAGACACACAGACACACAGACACACAGACACACAGACACACAGACACACAGACACACACACACACACACACACACACACACACACACACACACACACACACACACACACACACACACACACACACACACACACACACACACACACACACACACACACACACCACGCCCCATCGCCCCATCGCGCCGCTTTGGGGCTTCCGGACGCGGACGCGTCGAGGAGATGAAGTTGGTCCCCGCGAAGATCAGCAAAGCCATCCGCAGAGCCCAGCGCTTGTCCCAGGAGACACTGATGCGAAACCCACTCGATGAGTCGATCTCTCGCTCGCGAGCAAAGGGGTGGCGGGTTGGAGGTGGGAGGGAGTCTGATGAAAGTGGTGAAAATAAGTATGTACATATGTACGCATATTAATATGTTATATATATATGCTTATATATCTGGACTTGATGTTGGTAAAGCACTTGAGGTATATCTTCAGGTGACAAGATTGTTCAAGCTGCCTAGGAGTGGGCGGGTGCCAGGTCTTTTGGTTGTTTTTTTCCAAAGCGGGTGGATATTTTTTCTGCACCATGCGCGTGGAACGGAGAGTTTTACGGAAGGCAAAGCGCCTCGCGGAAGCTGGGAAGATCTGGGATGGTTGTGTTGAGCATGATAAGTTGCAGCAGTTCAACCCAAGTTGAACAGCAAAGGCTTGCCCGCGGGGTTTCCATTTTGACGGCAACATGCCGGCCAAAGCAACGGTTCGTGCGGAAGCGAGAAGGGTGAGCGGAATGGTTCAACGAATTCACGGCACAAGGCAACTGAGGGAAGCGAATTATCGCCATGTTGGTAGCACCCAACTTCATTTTCCGGGCCAGAGAAAGGGGTTGGAACAGTGCGTAGTCAGGTTCGGAACAGTGGCCATGAACTGCGCTTTGCCCCCGTTGCAAAGCTTTGAATGGGAAAACTGAGGCAGGGGTCTCCAAGTGGACGATGTCCCAGGCAATATCCATGCGTCCACCACACCCATTAGTTGGCATTCATGTGCGGGAAGAATCGGTAAGCACCCCCCGTGAGCCAGGGGACTACGTTTGAGGCTAGTTGCAAGTTGGGGTATCTCGCCTCCAAGTTTCCGTTTTCATGGACTTTCCACGCGTTTTTCCAGGAAACCAGCGGGGAGAAGGGAGTTGGCATGTCCAATTGGGTATGGGTCAAAATTAAGCCACCAGACCGCAGGTTTTGGTCCATGATAGTCCATGTGTCCATTTCTCAGGGCAACCCATTTTGGGTGCCACAGCTATTTGGAGCCCTGTGAGTTGTTCTCCTCCCTGCCGCGGTTGACTTTCGGATCGCAGGAGGCGATGCTTCAGGCGGAGGCGAAGAAGGCCAACCTGACCGCTGCCAAGCAGGAGGCAGAGACGAAGGCGCGACACGCGTTTCCGTGTTGGTTGGGCCAGGGTTTTTCATACCCAGACGCTCCGATTGGATGGATTTGGGCCTTCAAACGGCCAGGTTTTGAGACCCCAAAACCCCTTCTGGGGTGTCCAATGGAGGGTCTGGGTCTTCCATTGGAAGCGCCAGGAGCGTGTGGGTAGGGTGTTCTTCGCTGGGTGCGAGCAGCCCATGTTGTGGCTTACCCGAAAGGAAGCCAACCGGAACATTTGCATAGTTTTTTGTCTGTGAACTCCACACCACGCACACCCCAGTTGACACTCAACTGTAAACTCCGCTCATGAAGCACTGGCAAGAGCTTAGCACTTAGATTGTTAGCCACGGACCCAAGCAAGCTGCAATGAACAGTTCCAGGTATTGCTGGCTCTCAGGGACTGAACGGAACAAGTGCAATCCATGGGTTTAACTTCCCAAAGCCGTTACTTCCTTACTTTGAGAACCATCAAGTTGCTTGTAGCTCCTTGTAAATCAGGTAGTAGGAACCCTGTCAACACAAGGAGATCCATAATTGAACAAAGGATCTGTAGACATACTCTTTGTCCAACATAGAAGCCGACAGGAGGGTTTTGGAAGACAGTCCTCTTGAAAAGGCATTCAGTCTGCTTGCCAATAGAAAGACCAACTTTCAGAGTTGGTGGAACCCCGAGCCCCCGAAATGTGATGTCCATTTCGGGTCCAGAAACCGTAAAATATTTGTGCGGGTCAAAGTGTGTTTTTCAGCCATGGGGCCTTGTGGAGCCATTCGCACCAGGGTTTGAACCACTGCTTTTTGTTCACCCATGTTCCAATTCTCCTGATCCAAAAAGCAGTTGGCACCCGAGTGTTGATCCAGGTTTCCAAGTGTGTTCGCTTGGAGTTGGTACCCTTTGTTGCTTGACTTCAAAATGGTGTTTTTCTTCTGTGGGTGTCCCTCGTTCCCCTACCAAAAACAAAGTCGAGACTCCCCGCCCAAAAAAGAAGACTCAGCCCCACTTTCTTCTGCCAGGTCCCCCAGTAGTGCCCTTTTACCCTGTTTTGGGGGAGGGAGACTACAGACAAAAAGTTGGTACCCTTATTCTCCAGAAACCAATGCTGTGAGTGGGTCTTTTTGGGGGAGCTTATTCCAACCTCTCTGGAGGACCTAGTCTGGTTGCACCTCTCGTTCGCCGACCGCTTCGGGCAGTTTTGAGGCCGCCGAGGCGCTGCAGCAGAGCGAGGCCAGCACCACTGCCTCAGAGGAGGCCCGGAAGAAGAGGCGCAGCGAGCGGCTTTGGTCGGAGTCGGAGTCGTCGGTTGGTCGGTTGCTCGGAGTCGTCGGGTCGGGGCGGAGTCATGGAGAAAAGGGGGGCGGGTGAATTCTGGACTCAGTTTTTTTCGCTCCCTGGACCCAAACCGAACTCCCTGACAACAGTTTGTTTGGTTTGGCTCCCTGGACCCAAGCCGAGTTCAGTCCCTGAAGAAATGGTGGTCAACCTCCCCCGAAAAATGGGGGAGGGGGGCGTGAATGGACACAAGGCTATGTTGCATCCAAGAACTCTGAACGACCAATACCCTTAAAAAAAGTTGCAGAATGGAACCCAAGTGTCCACCGTCCTGGAAAAGGCGGGATTCTCACAACAAGCAGCTCGATTTGGAGGGTGAAATGGGTCTCAGAATGGACCCGAAGAAACGGGGACCCGAAGGATTTTATGGGATTGCCCTCAGTTTGATTTTGTTGGGGTTGATGTCCATTGGAAGGGACCCCTTCTGTTTTGAACAAAAGAGAGGGCCAAAGCGCATCGACCTTTCACAGGATGTCACCCTGAACCCCCTTCAGGGGGAATGTGGAGGCAAGCGTTGACGGGATGTCCGCGGACAATCACCTGAAGCTTTGGCTTTCAGTTGCTCTCCCTTGAAATTTCTGGCCAAAAGCTCAGATAGATTCGCCTCTTCAGCTCAAAACAAGCGCAAGATTGCCCGTTGCGAAAGATGGCCGAAAAGGGACTCCATTTTTCGAGACTGGCGATGCTCCTTCCGAGGCATGTGAGTCCACTGCCCAAAGGCACCGACCACGATTTCTCCATTTGGCCTTTGGGGCTTTGGGATGGCCACTTCTTGAGGATTTGGGCTTCCTGAATTAATCACTTCCCCCTATTAATAAAGGTCTCCCTAATAATACATATTTGTTTCGGAAGTCCCAAATCCGGGAACTCAACTTTGACCATCCTAGTGGTAGGGCTCTCACCCATTTCGCGGGGATGGCTTCCTTCGCTTCACCGTCCTTGAAACGACCGGTTTTATTTTTTTTGATTTGGTTCTCTTCCCTTTTAGCGGGCTGCACACAAGTTCCCAGCCCCCGGGAAAAAGGAAGCAACAAAAAGCAGCCCTGCCTCATTTTCAGCAGGGCGGCAACAAAAAAGACCGCCCGGTTTTCTTGGGCAAGCCACTTTCAAGGCTTCGCCTTGGCCCCATTGACCCAACGCCGCGGTCCCAACTTCGCTCGCTCGCGGCAACGGCGCGCTCGCGGCAACGGCTCGCCAGGGAAGCGGCGGAGGCGCAGCAGAACGAAGCGGACAAGGCCTCGGATCCCTTCAGGCTGTGAACCTCTGGGCTTCGCATTTTTTCCAGTATGTCCAGACCTTCGAATCGGGGACTTCAAAGCATGAGCAACGGCGTGTCCTGATTTTTGGGAGGGTGGCCATTTTTGGGTTGGCAGAAAGAGATACGTTATAACGGCGTCTCCTGTTTTTGGGAGGGTAGCCATTTTTAGGCTGGCAGAAAGAGATACGTTATAACGGCGTCTCCAGATACGGTATAACGGCGTCTCCTGTTTTTGGGAGGGTAGCCATTGTTAGGTTGGCTGAAAGAGATACGTTATAATGGCATGTCCTGTTTTTGGGAGGGTAGGGTAGCCATGTTTAGGTTGGCTGCAAGGGATACGTTATAATTTTTGGGAGGGTAGCCATTTTTAGGCTGGCAGAAAGAGATACGTTATAACGGCGTCTCCTGTTTTTGGGAGGGTAGCCATTTTGGCTGAAAGAGATACGGTATAACGGCGTCTCCTGTTTTTGGGAGGGTAGCCATTTTTAGGTTGGCTGAAAGAGATACGTTATAATGGCATGTCCTGTTTTTGGGAGGGTAGGGTAGCCATGTTTAGGTTGGCTGAAAGAGATACGTTATAATTGTTTGGGAGGGTAGCCATTTTTAGGCTGGCAGAAAGAGATACGTTATAACGGCGTCTCCTGTTTTTGGGAGGGTAGCCATTGGCTGAAGGCGTCTCCTGTTTTTGGGAGGGTAGCCATTTTTAGGTTGGCTGAAAGAGATACGTTATAATTGTTTGGGAGGGTAGCCATTTTTAGGCTGGCTGAAAGAGATACGTTATAACGGCGTCTCCTGTTTTTGGGAGGGTAGCCATTTTTAGGCTGGCTGAAAGAGATACGTTATAACGGCGTCTCCTGTTTTTGGGAGGGTAGCCATTTTTAGGTTGGCTGAAAGAGATACGTTATAATGGCATGTCCTGTTTTTGGGAGGGTAGGGTAGCCATGTTTAGGTTGGCTGCAAGGGATACGTTATAATTTTTGGGAGGGTAGCCATTTTTAGGCTGGCAGAAAGAGATACGTTATAACGGCGTCTCCTGTTTTTGGGAGGGTAGCCATTTTGGCTGAAAGAGATACGGTATAACGGCGTCTCCTGTTTTTGGGAGGGTAGGAAAGGTATTGGCTGAAAGAGATACGTTATAATTTTTGGGAGGGTAGCCATTTTTAGGCTGGCAGAAAGAGATACGTTATAACGGCGTCTCCTGTTTTTGGGAGGGTAGCCGTTGGCTGAAGGCGTCTCCTGTTTTTGGGAGGGTAGCCATTTTTAGGTTGGCTGAAAGAGATACGTTATAATGGCATGTCCTGTTTTTGGGAGGGTAGGGTAGCCATGTTTAGGTTGGCTGAAAGAGATACGTTATAATTGTTTGGGAGGGTTGCCATTTTTAGGCTGGCTGAAAGAGATACGTTATAACGGCGTCTCCTGTTTTTGGGAGGGTAGCCATTTTTAGGCTGGCTGAAAGAGATACGTTATAACGGCGTCTCCTGTTTTTGGCAGGGTAGTTATTTTTAGGTTGGCTGAAAGAGATACGTTAAACACGGCGTGTCCTGTTTTTGGGAGGGTAGCCATTTTTAGGTTGGCTGAAAGAGATACGAAGAGGATAGTTACGACCTTGTTCCTTCGCGACACACCCATTGTGTTGAAGCTAATTGTTTTTGACAGGTTTTGGGACTGCGACATGTTTCTACGTCCATGGCACTATCCTCCGGACCCTTCCTTTTGGGCTTGAGTTTGATCAGGAAACCGTGTATTTTAGGGGTTCCCTACTATTGAGACGAACCCACATGTTCCTGAGGCCGAATACCCAACACGTAGAAGTTTGATGTACTATAAGAGGTAGGGGACGCCCAAAACTGGTCTGCTTTCCTTCTCCCCCCTTAGAACCCACCCCAAAAAGGGGTACCAACTTCAAGACCACCCTGAAGCTACCCATAAAACGGGAATTCAGTCGGAATTCACCTATCTTTGGGGCAACAACCCGTTCCCATAAAAAGGGAATTCACCCGGGGCACTATTCCCTGTCTGTGAGTTGGAAGTTTGAGGCTCCACCACACCTTTTGGACTTCTCATCTCAAATCCGCTCCAGGCCCTGGAGAGCGACAACGCGGCCCAGGCAGCATGGAAGACCAGCAACGCCAAGTTGGACGCGCCTCGGTCCCGTGTGGGTGGTTGACGCGGGGGGGAGAACGCGGGTTGGTGTGACCATGTGTCCTTTTTGTGGGGGGGGGGGGGGGTAATCTGGTACCCTGATACCCTGGTTGAAACCTCACGATTTTGGGGTTGTCCACTTCTGAGAAACACACCCAAATGGCGGTCAGCCATGAAAGCTAAATCAGGAAACAAATGCAGTGGGTTTCTACCTGGAGTCTCCATGACCCTTTAAAAATGGAGTCATGACCCTAAATAATGGGGTCATGGACCTATTTTTAAAGGGTCATGGAGACTCCAGGTAGCTTCAAAAGGTCAACTAGACCTTTCGCTCGGGAGCCACCCAATCGTAATTCGTTTGGTGGGGGGGGGGGGGTTAAACGGCTATGTGTTATCTCGAGACCTTAGGGTGTAAAGGTTGCTCTGCGTTCTAAAGTGCAACCCTGCACGGGACGGGTGATTTTGGTCCCAAGCAGTTTCTTCAGAGCCCCCTATTCTCCCACCAGCTAACGTGAAGTGCACAGACCCCTGTAGAAAGACAACGTTCCTCTTGGATTTCCGGGCCTTGTCGCGCTTCCATGTATGTTGGTGGGAGGGTCATGGCACTGAGGCCACTGGCTTCTGAGACTGGAACTGAAATGGCTGTGGGTCAATAATAGGTACCCAAAATGGATGGTAAGCGGCAGCATGGACCAACACTCGTGGTCCAATTCCTGGTGGAAAGAAGTTTGACCCACACCCAAATGGCCTTCACGAGCTTGAGCCATCCGCTCGCTAGAGTCGCAGTCGCCCCGAATCGCCTTTGGCTGAGGAGATGGAGACCAGGTACAACGATGAGGAGGGGAAGTGCCCGAGGGGTCGACAAACAAATTGCCGTGGTGCAGTGGCAGATGATTGCATGACCCAAGCGAGGCATTTGCTTGCTGGGCTAAAAAACAACCTGCCCCTACCCAGTTCAATGTTGGGTTCATTATGCTTGTGCACCCCAGGAAGCTAGTATCTTCCTTGACGGGGTCTTCAGTCTTTCTCGTTGATTGTTCATCCCAGGAAGCTGCCGTTGTTGTTCAAGCAGTTCCCCTGGAAGCGGCCCCTCTCGTGAGGAACCAGCCTTGAACCGCATTTTCACCCGGTTGGGTCAATGTCTGCTATCATCTTCGTTGTTTCTTTGCCCTCTGAAATTACTTTGGTGCATTTTGCTTGGCTGTTAGGACTTTAACTTTTTGCCAGCAAATGGGTTTTCCACTAAACCACTAAAACATATTCACTTTTAGCAGGGGAGCAGATTTCGCAACCGAGATTATATCCGATGGACTCGTGAAGTCCTAGGCTTCAGGCTTTCCAACAAACCTCCGGCCGGCCGGGGCGCCGGTCAGCGCCGGCCAGCGTTGCTTTGTCCAGGTACCGGGAGCTGGCCGAAAGAGTGAAGAGGGAGGTCCAGAGGCTGATGAACGAGAAGCTGCAAGCGGCCAAAGCGCTCCTCGAAGTCTTATCTCGAAGTCGATGCAAGCGGTCAGATGTTGCATAGGATTCCCACTGTTCGTTGGCCCCGCCCCCAAAAAAACCAAAAAAGCAATCGCCAATGCATAAGGACTGATAAGTTCCTTCACTTTCAGGGAAGCCTGGAGATTCAGATTCTCACGGTAGAATGCTGGAGGAAAATGGCCCCTAAGGACCTGCCCAGTGAACAGGGCAGTGTCCAATCAATGTGACGCTGCTCCGGAGTCGACCGAAATTGTGAAATAGGCCTCTAAAATAGATTGTTTCCAACTTTCCCGAACACTTTCTACCCATTTTCAGGATGTTTGGCACACCAGCAGCTCCCCCCCTCATTTTTGTTCTTTTTCTTTCGAACGTTTGCGACAAGTTTAGATCCCCTGAAACAAGATGGCTGAGACAATCCTTCGTTTCGTTGCAAACATCAGACTCTGCAGGCTAGAATCCTCCAAAGTTGAGAACTCCTGGCCAAACTGGTTGCAGGCTTGCCCCTTACCCCCCTTGACCAGTTGCTGAATCACCATGTCCTTTCGTGCTACTAGTACCTTTTTTTTGTGCAGCATCCCCTCTAAAGAAACACAACGCACCAGACCAAAGGCCACCTCTGGAAAGGGCACGCCTCTGAAATCAGGTTCCTCCGAAGGCTTTGTGGCTAAAGACCTTGAGGAAAGCAATGGAGGAAAAAGACGGCAGCAGGGGTCTCAGAGGCGGTGGGCGTGGCGAGTTGGCGAACGCGAGGCTGGAGGCCCTGAAGGAGGAGAAGCTGCAGCTGGCCACGGAGGTTCATGCGCTCAAGGCGGAGGCCCAAGCCAAGGCGGGGGGTGGGGGTGGAGTGGGGGGGTGGAGTGGGGGGGTGGAGTGGGGGGGTGGAGTGGGGGGTGGAGTGGGGGGGTGGAGTGGGGGGTGGAGTGGGGGGGTGGAGTGGGGGGGTGGAGGCGGGGGGGTGGGGAGGGTGCGGGGTGGGGGTGAGGGTGGAGTTCTCCCACCTTGGAATGGGGTCAGCGTGGTCGCGTGGCTTGGTGATACTCAAGAATACTCTCATATGGCGGGCGTGGCAGTGTGTCACCAGAGTTGGCCGGAACGTGTCTGGATTTAACATCGGACAATTGCACATATGTTTTAATACTACTGATTACTGTAAGTGATTATCTTTCACAGCGGGCGATGGAAAGGAGCTCTTCTGTTGAACGTTGGACATGGAACCGGGATACGGTCACAACAAACAACAAGACGTTCAAGTAGAATGATCTTCACTGATTGACGTTGATGTTGATGTTGATGTTGTTTTTGTGGTTGAACAAGATGATGTATGGTTGATATCGTGGGAATTCTGATCTCGGCATGCCGACCGCATCTCACTGCTTCGTTAGGTTTGTATGATCTCCTGATCGCACACCCGTGAATGAATTCTTGGATATGCAAAAAATATTCCAGTAATACCAACTCGAGCGCTCCCATCGAAGTCGTCCGCAAATCCACACACATGAGGTGGGGGGGGAGGTGAGGGTGTCGAATGTAGAGATTCTCTTTTTGGGACCTCTTTAAAGCTTCAATTTCCTTAAGAGTATTTTGTTGACTGTTCCCTGCTGGGTTTAAAGGCAATCTATCACTACTGGAAATATTTGTTTGTAGTGGACTCAAGCAAATCCAAGAAAAGGAAACCACCAGTAAACTGCAACTTCAGGGGAAAGCAAGCGACCCTGAAGGGGGAAGCGGGAAGGGGGAAGTGGTGACTTAGGGTCTACTTTGCAACCACCTTCGTCTGGGATATAAGGTTTTTGAGGTTCTTGGCTGCAACACACACTCTCTGTGTCCATGGTACCGCGGGGCGTTTGTGTCAGAGATGCAGATATCAAACGCCACAGGTCAACTAGTGGTTTTGAATTCCCGGTTACCTACAGGGTTCCCTTTATTTTCCCTGAAAAGGTGTTGTAAAAGATGACCTCCTGGCCCAGGTTTGTTCAGACAGTTTTCTCTAGGTGGCGTTTGAAGGGCAAATATGGGGAGCCCGAGTGCGGTCACTGAATCAAAAAGCTTGGGCGCACCCCTGGAGTCTCCATGGCCCTCAAATCATGGGGGTCCATGACGAATCTCCCAGTAGAAACATCAAGATCGAAAACACCGCCAAAAACAATGGGGTTGAACCCCAGTGGCTTACCCAGCGGCGCCTCTTTCTTTTTGCTGGCTCTCAGGGCAAGAAACGGACTGCCCCCCACTAACCATCCATTGTGCCTCGTGGTTTCCCTTAGTTCAGGAATCCCCAAACACCGTTTCATTCCACCAATACCCGGAAAAAAGCTCGGAAACTCCTGCCCCACCCATCGCCCAAACCGCCGGGTCACAAGAATCCAGAAAAAAAAAAGCTATCGCCCTGGCCGCCGGGTCTGACAAGCCCTAGCCGGGTCTGACGCCCGAAAAACGGCTCTCAGAGTCTCGTTGCTTCGCGCGGGCACCCCAAACCCACCCCAAACCCACCCCAAACCCACCCCAAACCGTTTCACGGGCGGGGAACCGCGCGCTTTGAACCGCGGTTTGCCGCGGAGCCGCGGAAGCCGAGGGAGGGATCTTGATGGCCGCGGCGGAGAAGGCGGAGCAGGCGCAGGCGGCCATGGAGGAAGCCGCGGCTCGGAGTCGAAGGACGGTGACGGTCAGAGGAGTCCTGCAGGAGTCCCTCCGTCTCCGGGTGCCTTTTTTTTCTAAAAACTGATATTGTTATTGTTTTTGTGTTTTTGTTGTTTTCCCCGTTCTCCGGGTTATTTCCAGACGACCTTCTGCAAACTAGTTTCTTTAGCAATGAAAAAAGGCGCTTTGGCCTGAACAAACTGGTATAGTCAAGTCAAAGGATCTTACGTTAAATGTTCATGGTTTGGAAGTTCCAGATGGGTATGGGTCAAAATGAAGCCACCAGGAATTGGACCGCAGGGTTTGGTCCTTTCCATTTACTAGGGTCCCATTTGGGGCACCTATTTTTGACCACAGCCATGTAGAGGATGTCAACTTACCAAATAAAACAAGGGAAGAAAAGGGGTGGTTCACCACTTCTAGTATTACTAGGAAAAGAGAAGGTGTGGGAACCAGTCCAATGTCAACTTTGGAAGGAGTTTTGACCTGACCCGTTCCGTTGGGGTCCATTCTTGGGAAGCTCCTCCACCTGGATGAAACACGTTCATGCAGGGAACCCCGGCTGAATGCATCCCGCTATGAATAGGTGGGTGTGTTAGGGTTATCATGGGTTATCTTAACCCAGTGGATGTATTTGCCTGTACAGTAAGTAACCAAGGGCTTGCAACCCCATACAAAAACCAAAAGGAAAACAGCGAAGGTTTGCCTACTAAATATGGGTTTGCTCGTAAAGAACAAGTCCAGACTTTTGTTTGGCCTATCCACTCAACAAGTGAGACCGGCAAATTTGGTTTGTCTCAAAAGAACCCCCAAACTGCCGGGTTTCCTGGTGGTTTCCCTTGAACATGGTTGTTGTTGGGAAACATTTTGCATTTTTGCTTATTGCGGTTTAGTGGTTGAAATCCAAATCCACTTAACTGCATTTCTTTTTAATCGTTTGCTCCCCTTCCAACAACAACCAAGTGAAATCAGACAGGAAAGTTGGTCTCAAAAGAACCCCCAAACTGCCGGGTTAAACCTGGTGGTTTCCCTTGAAATCAATGCCCAAAAACGGGCTCATGCATTTTTGCGACCGACCCATGGAGTGCTCGAAACGGAGCTTCCACGCAGCTCTGCGCGGCCGAGGACCGGGCCGCGGAAGAGGCCCAGAACGCGGCGGAGGCGGCGCAAAACCAATTCGTCAGCTCCAAGGCTGCGGCCGAGTACGCGGAGCAGACCCCCGGCGAAGGTGTTTGTTTCTTTTTGTTTGGCTGTTTTTTGAAACCTGAGGTCAACATACGTGTTTTGTTTGTTTGTTTTGTTTCCTTTTTAAACCTGAGGTCAAAATGAAATGCACTCAGGTTGGAAAAAGGGATTAGGTTAGGTTGCAAAAGAAGTGTGCCAGTTTGAAAAGAAATTGGTCCCCCGGTCTTTGGGGCCCTGAGTTGCTGGACCCACCGGCGGGGGGGGGCGGGGTGGGGTGGGGGGGGGGGGCATAGGGCCTGGCGCGGGGAGAATCGCCCATTTGTTTGAATAAAACACTAATGGGAGCTCACTTCCTGAGTTCATGGAATTTTGTCACTTTTTGGGTTTGGACCATTTTGGTGGTAAGCGAAACGTTTGTTTACTTTTTCTGGCCAATCAAGTCAAGAAGTGAGACACGTTGTAGACGGTAAGGTTGACCCTTCTTGGTGGTTTGGATTTGTGTGTGTTGGGGGCTTTGAATTCCTGGTTCTTGTAGAGGGTAAATGGGAAATCACCCCTTTTCCACCAAGCCACAGATTAGGGAGAAGCTGATTTGGCTGCGGGTCGAAAATAGGTACCCAAAATGGAACATGGCCCGTGGCAACATGGACCAAAACCTGTGGTACAATTCCTGGTGGTTTAATTTTGACCCACACCCATTTGGCTTTGGTGGTTTGTGTGTTTCGGGGATTCGTACGGGAAACTGGGGATGCCAAACATGTCTTGCTACCCAAGGTGCCAAGGGGGAAGCAGATTTCCAGTCGGAGCCATCGCGTCTGACTGGACTAAGCCAACTCAACCGCGAACCCGCAAAACGCGAAAGCGGCAGAGCCGGCCCAGGAGTTACCTGGAAGCTGCCAGCGAGTTCGAGCGGAAGTCGGAGATGGCGAAGCTGGTGACTTTCTTGCCGGTTTTCTCCTGACGGGTTGAGCTACTTTCAGCTTCGTTCCTCGAGGGTTCCTGTTAAGGTTGACCTTTTGCGGCCATGACCCAAAATGGACCGAAACAGGAAAACCATAAGGTCAAAAGGTTGATTTGCTTTGAGCAACGAGGTGTTTCAGCATTTTTCTTGGCTTTTGGGTGACAAGGCGGACAGACTTAAATTCTTTGAGGACAGCCAGGAAACCGCCCTCGAACCACCAGGCACCACTGGGCGAAGAAAATCAATCGGTGACCTTTTCGAGGTGCAAAGAGAATCCAGAAGGACAGCCAGCAATACTTGGTGGTTTAACCAGCCGTCCGGTTCTTGAGCATTCTAATGTCTTTTAGTTGGTTTAGTGGTTGGGCTTCCATTTCAGCCACTGAAAGCTAAACTTTTAGCAGGAACCCTCTGCAAGAACGGCTTCGAGCCTCCAGTTTTTAGCGGGCTTCAAACCACCACTTGGGAAGTTACATGATTCTTTTGCGGCTTGTCGGAATCAAACGTAATCAGAAGTTTAAGGGTCAAGGTTGCGCAAAACTTGTCAACCAAATGACCAAAGACATGGTGTGACCGGCAGGATCCCTGTAGTACATCCTTCAAGGGTTCAGGAGGCTTAGGATCCAGCAGACCCATGGATTTCCCCTGGTTGATTTAAAAGGGAACTAGTTAAAAACAGCTGGCACGAGTTTTGAAACCAGTTGAAGTCACTTGCGACCCACCTCTTTTTTGCAAATGAACACGGTCTTCCAGGACCCCTTTTTGTTGGTCCCATGTGTGGGCACGCTTTTCTTGCCGTGTCCTTTGGGTAGAGAAGCTCTGTTGCCCAGTGGCGCCCCTTTCTTCTTTTCCGGGGGAAGGGTTCCCCTTTCAACTCACCCAACAAAAGTAGGACGCCCCTTTTTTTTTGGAAGTCCACAAGCTCTGAGGAAGTGAAGGGCTTGAGAGAAGCTTAGCTTAAGGCTGGGCTGCTTCTCTCCGAGGTGAAGAAGGTCCGAGACTCGGTGCAGGCCTTCTACGACAACTCGGACGCCATGACCAAGAGCGGCTCGGTGTCGGGGGGTCGTCGGATCGACGGAGCCGCTTCTCTCTGGTCGGACCCGGGAGGCGCCGGGCTCCTTGGCTGGCCCAGCAAAGACTGGGGCATGGAAAATTCCATGCCCCCCCCGTTTTCGGCAGAGAATATGTGTGTTTTACGGGTCATGGAGAGAATTGAGGGGGTTGGAGGCTTGATCGGTGCCCAAGGGGTTGGATGCTTGACAGGGCTGATGAGGATGGCCAGCCTCCGAATTTGAGCATAGATGTGTTTTTTAAGAGTGGTTGGGCTACACGGGCTTGTGCAGCCGGGGAGTGTTGAAAAGCTGCTGCCTTGCGGCAAAGGTGCAGGCCCTATTCTACAGGGAGCCCCAATTTGGAGTGGGAGGGTGGGCAAGGGACTGAACGGAAAAAATGACACTCCAAAAGAGGTTGCTCAGAGTGTTTGGCCCATTAACAAACATGAGTCATAGATGGCAAGCATGCTGGCTCCTGCCGTCTCGGCACCAGGCAACGCCAGGGTGCATCATGGCATCTGCCTTTCCAGAACGATGCTTAAGCTTACAGCTGGCATCTTGTGAGATGGCACACCTTTGAACCGGGCGGGACGCCAGGTCATCTTGAGATGATCCAGCCAGATCCCACTCCCGGTTCCGTTGCCCAGGGCCCTCTTTGTCCATTCAGTTGGCTGCTTCAGGATACTCAACACAAGTCCCACCTGGAGACAATCCAGCCAGCGCACGCAGCCTTGCCAGAACAGCCAGATGCGCACGCAGCCTTGCCAGCGTCTGCCCACTCGGCGGATGTCAGCTACCTCGTGGATGGAATGGAATACCCTTGATGCTGCCAGCAACAAGTTGGCTGTGGGTCAAAACCAATGGTACAGTTTTGGGGTAGGTGAATACACCGCCCATAGTCTACTTTAGTGGGGATTGGGATCTTCACTGGAGGTACGATTTGAATTTTGACCCATGGCCATTTCGTGAAGGCAAGTGCAGCATGGCGTGCTGCAACCCCGGCATGCACCCTTTGCTACCTGCGTCCTCATCGCCAGCGGCGGCCGTGCACCTCTTCTCCAACTTGATGTTGGCTGCCTTGCTGGCAAGCCACTTCGCAAGGCCCAAGACATGGGCAGTAGGTGTTTAAACAGTCGTGCCCCAGCCCCCTTTTAGGCGAGGTTCCTCCAGTGCCCTTTTGCCAATTTTTGGTTGGGAGGCTCCCCTACTAAAATCCAATAGACCACAGACTCTTTTTTTTTGCAATATTGGGCACCAACTTCTAATCTCTCTGGACCTAGAGGGGAAGCCCGAAGTTGGTTTGGATATCACATCGAACCCCTGCAAGGAGGTCTCGCACGGGATGGGATCCGAATCCCCAGGCGCTCCTTAGGCCGCTTAGGCCCGGCCCCGGGGCGGTTGCAACATGTAAACCGGGCGCCTGTCAAGAACGAACATGGGCTTCTTGGCAGTTGTTTAGATCTTTGGACTTTCAGATTTGAAGGGTTTTGGACTTTTGGATGTCTCCCACTCAAAGTTTGGTTGAAGCAAGGGATCAACGTACCAAAGAAAACAAACAACCGGCGGTTCTCCCCGAGACCAATGCCATCAATCACCCAGAGCTGACTGCCGCCAGCTACACCATCCACGTCTGAGCCGGCGGTTTCAGCTCGAGACCGACTTGTTGACCAGGGATATGGCTGTGGTTGTCAAAACCAATGAGATCCCATTTTGGTTGGTAGGTGAATTCACCACCCATAGTCTATTTTAGTGGGGATGGGGATGTTCACTGGGGGTACGATTTGGGTTTTGACCCATGGCCACATATTTCCTGGTGAACTGTTCGGAGTGGGGCCCAACTGTTTCCAAAATAGTTGTTCACGAGAATCGCAGAGTGTCTTTGGACCAAGGCCTTTTGAACCATAAGTTGCCCATTGCAGTCTGTGACAGGGTGGCGTGGAGCCGCTCTGATCGCACTGTAGCTGTAGCCTGTGCAGGCTCAGTGGGAGCGGTGTGGGACAAGCTAGTGAATCGCTAGACTTCAGTCCCGCCCGTTGGACCTTTGGTCCAGAAAGCCCAGGGCGAAGGCTTGAGGTCTGTTAGGACCCAAGGTATGGATTTATCCGGCTTCCCCTGTTCCCTTTTTTTTCTCGTTCGATCCGTAGCAGTGTCCGACAGAGTGGTGTCGAGCCGCTCTGATCGCACCGTAGCTGTAGCCTGTGCAGGCTCAGTGGGAGCGGTGTGGGACAAGCTAGTGAATCGCTAGACTTCAGTCCCGCCCGGTGGACCTTTGGTCCAGAAAGCCCAGGGCGAAGGCTTGAGGTCTGTTAGGACCCAAGGTATGGATTTATCCGGCTTCCCCTGTTCCCTTTTTTTTCTCGTTCGAACCGTAGCAGTCTCCGACAGAGCGGTGTCCAGCCGCTCTGATCGCACTGTAGCTGTAGCCTGTTCAGGGCTCAGTGGGAGCGGTGTGGGACAAGCTAGTGAATCGCTAGACTTCAGTCCCGCCCGTTGGACCTCTGGTATAGAAAGCCCTCGGCGAGGGCTTCAGCCTTATCTTGCGCGGCTTTCGGATGCTTTCGGGCGGTTAACAGAAACCGATCCTATTCACAATGATCGAAGACTCTTTGCAGAGGCACCGAGATAGAGTTCTGGTATGTTATTGTTGGAATGTGGTTCTTCAGCAAATGAGAAGCAGTTCAAGAACACCCAATGGGCTGCGTGTTTTCTCTGAGTGCAGCGGAGCCCGGCATCGATGTCGAAGCTTCATGCTTCACGATCATAGTTGAGTCGCACTCAAAACGTGCTGGGGGCCCTCAGCGCATTTTGATGTTCTGGCAATCCAAAAAAAAAACGTGCGGCCGGGATTTGGTGTGTGACCTGCGGGACACAGCTTCTTTTTTGGGGTAGAACATCTACTGCGAAGCGCTCGAATTGAACCAACCCACAGCTTGGAATTGGATGCATCCGCTTTTTGGCCTGTCATCTGCTTTTTGGCCTGGCTTGTTATCCATTTGGCTGAAACAAGCCAAGGCCATTTCCATCATGCGAAGCATCACGTTGTCACCATGGAGGTTGGACGCAAAACACGCCCTGCACAAAACGAAAGAGCTTGACAGCAGAAGGCACAATCACCCCTGTGAGGAATCTCGTTCGTGCCATGTTTAAAGGCAACAAATGGCCGGCCTGGGTCCATTGGTCCCTTGGACCCTTTTGGTGTGCGATTGCCCCAGTTCCATTTCGTGAGCCCCACCTGCTCACTGAGATTGAACGCCTACTTTCACCCACACCAAGGGTTGATTGAACCAGCCACCCAAACAAAATATATTAATATAGTAATGATTAACCATGTTAATCATTTTTTAAATATATATATATATATGTGTATATAATGTATGCTGCTATAAACTAAATTCTATTCTTGGCATGTGTTGTTGATTGACGATATATATATATATATATGAAACACACACCCCTTCTCCCCCCACCCCCAATTGCGCGCCTCGAGGCATGGAGGCGGCGCTGGAAGGGCAGCAAGGCACGGCCGAGAAGAAGCCAGCTCACGCGCCTCGAAGCGAAAGTCCCAGCGAAAGGCTCGCTGCGGGAGCTCCGGGCAGAGGCGGTGCCCGCCTGAAACGGGTTTTTGTATCCTTGGGTCCTTTGGGCAAGTGAGGGTAGTTGTTGGGAAACTTTTTACATTTCTGCTTGTTGTGGCTTCGTGGTTGAAATCCAAATCCACTTAACTGTTTAAAGCTTAATTTTTGGCCCTGGATTTCTTGGTGGTTGTAGTTTGAAGCCCGCCTTAAACATATCCTTAGCTTTTTAGGCTTTTAGTGTTTTGTGGGGATTGTTAAGCTTTTGGGGAGTGGCTCTTTTTTTGAGGGGGTTGGCTTGGTCCCCCAGCTAGGTGCCCTTTGATCCTTTTTCTTGACTGCTATAGGGTTGGATCTTTAGCTGTTTGGTTAAAATAAAGCTGTTTTCCACTATACCCCCAAAAAGTTGAACTTTTTGCAGGGGGGTCAACAGCAACCAAGTTTTGGGGGAGGGTTCCTCTACTAAAATAGACTACAGAAAAAAGTTGGTACCCTTGTCTCAGTTGCCCAAAACCGACCTCTTGACCTTTTGGTTTCTCCTTTTTGGTCTAGTTTTAGTCATTGCCCCAACAGATTAACCTTTTACTTCTGGGTCCTTTGGGCAAGTGAGGGTAGTTGTTGGGAAACTTTTTACATTTCTGCTTGTTGTGGCTTCGTGGTTGAAATCCAAATCCACTTAACTGTTTAAAGCTTAATTTTTGGCCCTGGATTTCTTGGTGGTTGTAGTTTGAAGCCCGCCTTAAACATATCCTTAGCTTTTTAGGCTTTTAGTGTTTTGTGGGGATTGTTAAGCTTTTGGGGAGTGGCTCTTTTTTTGAGGGGGTTGGCTTGGTCCCCCAGCTAGGTGCCCTTTGATCCTTTTTCTTGACTGCTATAGGGTTGGATCTTTAGCTGTTTGGTTAAAATAAAGCTGTTTTCCACTATACCCCCAAAAAGTTGAACTTTTTGCAGGGGGGTCAACAGCAACCAAGTTTTGGGGGAGGGTTCCTCTACTAAAATAGACTACAGAAAAAAGTTGGTACCCTTGTCTCAGTTGCCCAAAACCGACCTCTTGACCTTTTGGTTTCTCCTTTTTGGTCTAGTTTTAGTCATTGCCCCAACAGATTAACCTTTTACTTCTGGGTCCTTTGGGCAAGTGAGGGTAGTTGTTGGGAAACTTTTTACATTTCTGCTTGTTGTGGTTTCGTGGTTGAAATCCCTAGTTAACTGCTACAGTTTATTTGTTGCTCCCGTTCCAACGTCAACCAAGATTTGATGCTGCCTCGTGAAAGCAAGTACAGCATTGCGTCTAGGTCCCCCAGCTAGGTGCCCTTTCTCACCCCTTTTATGGTTGGGAGGGTTCCCCTATTAAAATAGACAATCGAAGAAAGTTGGTACCCTCATTCTATCCCCTCTACTGGAGGACCTAGAATGGATTTGGGGGAGGGTACTTTTTCTGGAGATCTCCTATGGTGAGCCATTCTCCATGCGAAGACTAGCAAAGTGAATTGGGGACTACCCAACCCCCCCCCCCCCAAGGTGAGATTTCTCGAACTGAAAGCCCGGTGGCTTGGATTTGAAGATATGAACCTCTGGCATCGGTAAACGGGAAACCGCCCCCTTTACCACCAAACCACCGGGATCCATAGGGAGGCTGACCACTTGAAGACTTGCATTGCTTAAGAGTGCTTGGTTTCCTCTGGTGATTTTTTTCAAATTTTGTCCAGACTTAAGCACATGGAGGATTACCAGTTTTGGACATGTTTCCCCAATACATTTCTAAAGAGTCGGGATCATCCACAGAATGCATGTATATATGTCCTGCTTTGTTGTTGTTTGCCTTCGGTGGGTCTTTTTTTTTGGTCTTGACTTGGGTGAATTGTACCAATTGCCCTTGGCACATGACGTGGAACCCATCAGATGGTAAAATTATTGTCAGGGACCTGTCAGGGCTAGAATGTGAATTTCTTGCGCGCAGTAGTTATTCATGTCTTTAAGGGACCCCCCACGAAGATGGGCGGCTCCTCTCTTTTGGTTGGGGGCACGGTGTGAATGGGAACCAACAACACACCGAAGCTGGGGTAGACTTAGGATGATTACATTGTACCAGTGATTCAAATTGAGGCAAACACGAAGGTATACATTCTGTAACAGGGCCAAACTCCAATCATGGAAGCTTGGGTGGCTCCCTCTCTTTTAGTTGGGGGTACTTTCTTCTTTTGTTTTAGGCTGGGAACCAGGACACCGAAGCACATTTTTGGAGCAACCCGAAGCCCGTCTTGTCGAGGCACGGACCCCGAAAATTGGACGCTTGAGACCGCAGAACTTGCTGCCCAGGAGCTTCTGCGGGCAGATCCCAATACCAAGACCGCCCTGGCTCGGAGCCCCGGAACGGACACGAGCGAGCCTGGCCATCATTAAACAAAACATGTGTTTCCCGTGTTTATATATATATATATAGATATTTTGTGTGTAGTGATTAAATGTATGTTCAATATACTTAGATACTTTAAAAAACACAGGAGTTTATGTATATATACATATACATAGATTTGTTGATTAGATGTATGTTGAATACGCTTAATCAAGCTTTTCTGCTCTGCCATGGTCAACGTTGGTCCCGGGTAAGGATCCGCAAGAACCCTGATAAAGATTCCTATTAAAGGGAACCGTGCCCATGGGCCATATAAGCAGTTTGGACCATGGCACATCTGATGGTGTGGTGATTGTGTTGCTTGTAAACATCCAGTGTCTATGCCGTGTCTTCACTTTTTTTGTGGTATCTCATAGCCAGGACATTGCGGGTGGTATGCCGTTCGTTCCTTTCTCCTTCCCTCACTGTTCAATGTTTGAATCGTTCTGTCCACGGGCGTCGTTACGTTGGCTCTTCTGTATTTGCCCAGTTGCCCAGTGATGCCCTTTTTTGCCCCGGCCACTGGGCATCTGAATTGTTATTGATGTTTGTTCCTTTTTTTAGGTTTTTTATTCTTCTTTTTAACGGGGGGGTTCTCCGCACCAGAGATGCGCTCTGAGCTCACCGAGATGCGGGGCAACACGAAACCGCCTGCCCCCAAAGCTTGAGATATGGCGTCCCTGAGACAAATTTTGCCTCCGGTGCAAAATCGGGAAGACACTTGGTGACTTGGACTGGTAAATTGGAGCAAGAGGATGTTCGCCTTGGGAGTGGGCTGGATTCCCTGGCATGCCCCATGCGCTAACCCTCGGTTTGCGCAATTGTCTTGATCTAAAACAGGCCTTTCTGACATTTGGGAGGGCTTTTGGCGGAGACGACAGAGGGAGGCAAGAGAGTGAAATGGGTGTCTTTTTTCCAATGGCGCCTGTCCTTTTTTGTGGTTTTGAAGGGGAGCAGAGAGAGCGGTTGTTCAATTCCCTCCCCCCCCCAAAACAAAAAAAATGGAAAAGAAAAAGAAACAAGGACAGAGTCTGTCTTTTTCTGATGGTGCCTCTTGTTTGGTTTTTTCCAAGCCAAGAGGGGCCAGCCGTTCTTTGTAGGGTCCAAGCATTGGACTGACACGCCCATTGGCACCCGCCGACTGGCATAGGTGGCCTACAACGAGATGGTGCTCACCTTTCGGCAGCTGCTGGTGAAGTCCAAGGATCGGAGCCAACTCATGGGTTTTCCGAATTGAGCCACTAAAAGTTAGTCACTTCTAGCCGCGGAGCCAAAAGCAACCAAGATCAGTCGTGTGAGATCGAGGTGCTCGATGCCTTGAGCGAGTCGAGATCTGAGCTTTTGGCCTCCAACTTGGCCATGGTTGCGAAATCCATGACTCACACCACTTTACATCCATGGGAAACCATTGCTTGTTGGTACTTAGAGGGGAATCATGGTTTCATGGCTTTTAGGTGGTGCAGGAAATCGTCCATCTTGCGAAATCCATGACTCGCACCACTGTTCAGAACCAGGGTGTCTGGTGATTCCCATGCGAATACCAACAAGCAATGGCCCTGCAGGATGTTTCGTCCATTCCCTGAGCTCATGGACTAAAGTCGTCACTTTTAGAATTCGGACCTGTTGGTCAATAGGACTGGTTTGGACTAGTTTGGGGTCGGAGTGGACCAGTTTGGACCAGCTTTTTGCGACTTGTTTGTGTTTTTTGCCCATCCACTCGTTACGTGAGTCTCCGAGTGTCCAAGATCGGTACCCTCCCCGCGGCTCGTCCATTCACGGCCTCCGGGCTCTGAAGGCCTCTGTAAACCGGCAAGTGAGCCGGTTCTCTTTTCGCAAACCTGGCCTGGCCTATCCAAAGCAAAAATATACCATGGTGGTTCTTGGGAAACATGTTTGTTACATATCTGCTTATTGTGGAATTTAGTGGCTGAAATCCAAATCCACTGAACTGCTAGAACTTGGAGAATCTTTGCTCTCCTTCCAACGTCAACCAAGATACGTGAATACCCATGCCAATTAGCATATGACCGGGGACTTCTTTTGAAAGGAGAATGGTCCAAACCAGGGCCCCGACCGTCCGGTTCCATGTTGTTCGGGGTACCTGTTCTTTCCCAAAGGAAGACATGGAGATGTTGTTTGGCTCTCAAAATTCCTCGTCTTCACCTTCACGGGCCCCATTTTTACAGGGCAGTGGGTGGCTCTCTTTGCCAGCTGGGTGGATTTTCCCATGGTAAAATCCAGCCAGGGGAGCCTCAGAGAAACCCAAACTACAGGGAATAGAAAGCCCTGCCACTGGATGGTCCGACACGAAAAGAGGCCTATGGATGGCCGATTTGTTTGAAGATATGGGATAAGGAACCCTGCAATATTAGCATGACTCTCCCATGGCTTCTGGTGTTGAAATCCACCCCGTTCAATGATTGAGGCCCTTCCAGCGGGTGTGCCTTTCTTTTTGAGGATACCCCCGTTTTCGTGGTTGTAAAGGGACTTCAACAGGCAAGCCTCCCTTTCGGGTCCCCTTTTTGTTTGTTTCAAGTGAAACCAAAAGGAACACCTCCATATATTTTTTAAGGGGGGTCGGCCAAAAAAGGACACCTGTATGTGGTGTCCCCCAAACCTGGCCGCCGAATCGCTTGAGCGAACTTTGAACAGGACTTCTACACCTACGTGGCGGAGGCTTAACCGCAGGAAGGGAGCTGTGGGGCGGGTCAAACAGCGGGTGGTTGCCGTGTAAGAACATGGCAAGACAATGATAGGAGTCATTTTCCTCAGCGAAAACAACCGGGTCTGTTTTTTTGAGAGTACCGCGTTTTTTGATGGTTATGGGAAACCACAAGGAAGGCCGAAGCCAGTTTTGGGGTCGCCTCAAATCGCACACTGACACCCATATACATTCAACCATCTTATACCGCTATCTTGTACTCTTCTCAGGACTTTGTCGGGATCTGTGTCTTTCTTGCCAACCAGCAACTGATATTCTTACCAGCTTGCTATGGTTCACGTGGAGTGCGTAGGTGTTTAAACGGAAACAAGCGCTCCTTTGAAAGAGGTCGATTTCACTTGCACAAAAAAGGTCCACCATCATTTGTCCAGTTTGAAGAAACAGGTGCGTCAATATGGGTGTTGTCTAAGATCAAAAGCCCAACTTTCCCTTGGCTTCCTTTCAGCCCCGCACCAATTGGTAGGGTCCCAAGACCCTGTCTTGGGTCAAAGGCTCCAACAGCGTCAACCGCCAGAAGTATTTGGTTGCCGTTTTAGCCAAGGCTCACTCAACTGGGGTCTATGGGAACAACTTATGAGATAAGTTTCAAGTGAGAAATTCCCCGCTGTGCTCTTTTATGAGTACCTGACGTTCGGGGCCCAGTCCCTTTAAAAGGAAAATGGTCCAAACCAGGTGGAAGGGTATTAGGCTTTGATGAGCCCCTTGGATGAGGCCCTATAAATCTTGGGATAAACCAAGGTACATTCAGCTTAATCTTGCCAGAGGCAGGGAATGAAAAATGGAATGACTCCGATAAAAACCATCCAACTAGTGGTTTCCTTGAAGGGGACCCCGTTCCCTCTGGACCTTTTCGTTTTTCCTTTCTTTCCTTTTTTGGAAGTTAACCAAAACGTCCAGACTTCTTTTGCCCAACTGACTCAGGAAGTGAGTCTAACAAACTTTTTTTGCTGAAGGGGTCCAAAGCGGGGGCCCCCGAATGCATGGAACGAAGGGGGGGGGTGAACCCCGACGCCCCCGGATGAATGAAATGAACGAACCGAGGGCGGTGTCCACGAGATCCATGAGAACGCGGAGGCAGCCATTCAGCTCCAGTGCGACCCTGAGGAGGCACCGGCGCAATACCTGCGTCTGTGTGTGTGTGTGTGTGTGGGTGTGTGGGTGGGTGGGTGGGTGGGTGGGTGGGTGGGTGGGTGGGTGGGTGGGTGGGTGGGTGGGTGGGTGGGTGGGTGGGTGGGTGGGTGGGTGGGTGGGTGGGTGGGTGGGTGGGTGGGTGGGTGGGGTCTGTGTCTGTGTCTGTGTCTGTGTTTGCAGCCTTGGCAAGTTCACTTCCTGAGTTCATTAAAAAACCACTTGAGTGGTAAAGAAAAGTAAGTTTGGACTTCTTTTTTGGTTGCCCTCCACTCGGGAAATGAGCTAAAGAGCTCCCTAGATGAATAGATGTATACAGGTATATATATATATATAATAATGATAATAATAATAATGATAATAATGATAATAATAATAATAATAATAATAATTATAATAATAATAATAATAATAATAATAATAATAATAATAATAATAATAATAATAATATACACTCTCACTCTCTCGCTTTCACTCTAACTCTCTAGATATATGTATATATACATATACATGGGTGTGTGCCGTGGGCGTCTTTTTCCTCCCATGCCTTTGTCTGTTTGTGCCATTGATAAAAGTCTGGCCTGTCACCTAATTTGGTGTCCGTAGTTTTCCTTGCCAACGAAAAGCTCGTTTGCCCAGAGCGAATGTGTCCCTTTGGCCCGGTTTTAGTGGCCCCAAAAGGTGATCACCTGATAAATGTCCAGGTCCGACTTGGGCAAGAGGTTTTCCTTTGGTGGTTCCCCAGGGCTCCTTAAAAGATACATTTTGCAACCATTTGAAACACGTTGCTTTTTCCAGCAAAATAAAGTTGGACACCAGCATTCACAAGGCAACATTCAGGTGTTTTGCATGTAAGGATCCCTGTTCAGTGGCACCAATCCCTTTTCCTCCTTTTTTGTTGGTGCCTGCCCCCCCAAACATGGTCTTCCCTCAAACGGGTTCCCTTTGTTTCCGGGGTCGCTGAACAACTGAGAAAAGGGTTTACTCCTCCACCAGGGGCGGCTCCGCCCCAATTTTGGGCTGCGGCTTTTTTTGCCCCGGAGGAGCTGGAGCTGGCAGCCAAGGAGTCGGGCGACCAGACCGACTTGCACGAGAAGTGCGGCCAGGGCGTGTGGAGGGACCGAAAGCCCGGGACGAGGGGAGGGCCCTTCCCCTGGAAAATATTCCTGCGGGCTCTTCCTTCTTTTGACTTTTTTTTGGGAGGGGTTCCCCTTCAAAGTCAACTTACCAAACAAGGATGCCCTTTTTCTCCATGGGAGTCCACTGGGCTTCCCTACACATGTTCTCGGGAAGCTACCAAAAGCCTGTTCCCCAATCATTGATGACAAGCGGCTGCCGCAACGAATGCTTTGGCTTGCCGGTATCATCAAACCTGGTGCGGCACGCGTTATACATACGCCTTTGAAACCTATATACGCTTCGCCGAGCTAGGTTCCTTTCAGATGGAACCCAAGGACGACTTGAGGAAATCCTGCTTCTGCCAATGTCACTTTGGTGTGTGTGTGTGTGTTGCTTGACGCTTAAGCTTTTCTACCCAATACTCGAACACATCTTCTTGTGGAAGGGACCAACAAATTCATCATGCCCCAGAAATCAATCCATGCGAAGTGGGGTGTCTGTGTGTTTGTGTGTCTGTGTGTCTGTGTGTCTGTGTGTCTGTGTGTCTGTGCGTCTGTGTGTCTGTGTGTCTGTGTGTCTGTGTGTGTTTGATTGTCTGTTTGTTTGCTTGTGTGCTTGCTTTCTTGTTTGTTTGATTGCTTGTTTTGTTTGTTTGTTAGGTTGGTTGTTTGTTTGTTTTGTGTGTGTGTGTGTCTGTGTGTGTGTGTCTCTGTGTCTCTGTGTCTCTCTGTGTGTCTCTGTGTGTCTCTGTGTGTCTTTTTGTGTCTCTGTGTGTCCCTGTGTGTTTTTGTGTGTCTCTGTGGGTCTCTGTGTGTCTTTGTGTGTTTCCGTGTGTCTCTGTGTGGCTCTGTGTGTCTCTGTGTGGCTCTGTGTTTCTCTGTGTTTCTCTGTGTGTCTCTGTGTGTCTTTGTGTGCCTGTGTCTGTCTCTGTGTGTCTGTGTGTTTGATTTGCATTTGTATGCTGTCTTGTTGCTGGGGCACGTCATACTCTAGCAAGAGCAAGTGTGTAAGATTGTCGGACAAGGAGGCCCTTGTGCCAGAGAAATATCGCTTCTCAACGTGTTTCGGCACATCCCCACTCTTCCGAGCGCTGGAAGATTGCATGGTTGTTGTTGGGAAGCATTTTACATTTTTGCTTATTGTGGTTTAGTGGTTGAAATCCAAATCCACTTAACTGCTAAAAAAGTCTATTTTTTTGCTCCCCTTCCAACTTCAACCAAGTTTGGTGCCACGCTCCTTGCTCCTCCGCCTCCCCTCCCCTCCCCTCCCCTTCTAGGTCCCCCAGTAGTGCCCTTTTACCCTTTTTTGGAGGGGAGGTTCCCCTACTAAAATAGACTACAGAAAAAAGGGGTATTCTAACCTCTCTACTGGAGGACCTAGCCTTTGTGGGGTGGGCGGCAGGACCTCGAGCTGGAGCAGCAGAGGTTCCCTCACCTGGAAGGAAAGCACGTGGACGCGCAGCACGTCGACCCTCGGCTGGGAGTTGGCATGGGGAAAATGGCACTAGGTCCCCCAGTAGTGCCCTTTTACCGCTTCTTTTTTGGGGGAAGTTCCCCTACTAAAATAGACTACAGAAAAAAGTCTGCCCTTATTCTATCCTCTCTATGGAGGACCTAGCAGACTGACAAGCAGGGTTGCTTGAAGCGTTGGTTTTAACAATGCTATGCTATCCTCAGTGGGAGATAGCCCACCTTTGCCACAATGCTCACAAGGGCAACAATGACAGAAAAGGTTTCATTGGTGATGTGCTGCCTTGTGGTGCTTGCAATGTTTTGGAAAAGGCAGCAACAACAACAGCAACAGGAGCCGCAACAACCACCACGGCAGCCACAACCACGACACCCACAAACACTACGACAACGACCACAGCAACCGCAAACCTAACGACCACAACCACAACACTCAATCAACTATTAACTGCTACGACAACAGCTCCCACGTAGCCACAATTGCCATGGTTGTGAGGACGTCACCCATGTCAAGGCCAAGTGCAGGAACACCAGCCACAACCAGAGAAAGCACAACAGCAACATAGCATGAACCACAAAAACACAATAGGCCTGTTTCGTGAGATGCAACTGCACACCAACCGATGTTGCAGAAGGCGACCCGGAGCTTTCGGGCAGAAGGGCGCCAACAGAGACGCATCGCTTCTGTACTACTATTAAGTTGGATCTTTAGACTATAACTTTTTGGATTCTCCTCGTCTTGCCTTTTAACCAGCAAAAAGATAAACTGTTTGCTGGGGGATCTACAGCACCCAAGGCTTGAACACTGAGCTGCCCTACCCGAGGTGGCATCTCGCTGAGCCTCTGAGCTGCGTGCGCCGCGATCGGACGCCTCGCTATCAGACGCTATCAACCAAAGTCTAGGTCCCCCAGCTAGGTGCCCTTTTACCGTTTCTTTTTTGGTTGGGAGGGTTCCCCCAGTAAAATAGACTACAGAAGCGAAAGTCTGCCATGTCTGCCCTTATTCTAACCTCTCTACTGGAGGACCTAGAATTTGGAACCCCGGGACTTGTCATCTTCCTTGGCGGAGGTGCCATGGGCAGCGTTAAGCTCAATAGGCTGAACAAGGTGTTTTTGTTGGCCAAGACCGGGTGTTGGCAATGAACCCAGGTCCCTTAAAGGAAACCGCTAGTTGGATGGTGTATCTTGGGGTTAGTCCATGTCTCATCCCCTGCCTATCACACCGGTCGCAAGTGTTTTGCTGTCTTTTTCTCGATTGTTTTTATTTGGACTCGTTATGCCGGAGGAGTTGGGTCAAATTTGGGGCGCCGAGAGCTACAGATTGGCAACTCAAGAGAGCAACACGCTCATTTGCCGCGGCCAAGGGGCCGTGGCCGGGTTCGCTGCGCCGTTTTGCGGAAACAGCGCGGCCCGCATCAATTCAGCGAATTCAGCAGCGTCCATTTGGTGGAAGGCTGGCAGCCCATGCGAAAAAACACAAGCTCTGAGTGAGCTTGTGCAGTTCACTGAGATTTCAGGAATGCACTCATTCCCTCAATGTACACATCCCATTGCAATTCGCAATGGGCTTATGAGCATTGATCCTTCTCGAATTTTGCTTCACGTGTCTTTTCGCTGCTCTGCCATGTTCTGCTTCTCACTTTCTTCACTTGCTCAACTCTTCTTTCGTCTGATCTTCTCCCGGTCTGTTTCCTGCTCTTCTTTCTCATATGTTTTATGTCTGTGGTTTCTGCGGCTCCTCCTGCCCTTCCTTCGGTCTTTCAGCACTCTGTGTTCTTCCCCTGCTCTCACAGTTGACCTGCCACGTGCGGTTGGGCAACACCGGCAGATGGTTTGCGACACGATCGGCTTGTCCCTCCCAGTGGATCCTAGTTACCCAGACAGCAGGTAACCGTCAATTTTCCTTTTGTTAAAGGGTTCCCTCCCAGTGGATCCCAGTTACCCAGACATTTTTCAAGGGTGGCCTTGGTTAGCTACTGTACAAGAAAGGAATTCACTGGGCTTGCCACTGAGAGGACTACGGCAAAACGCCCAAGTACCTGACGCACATCAAGAAGGACACCCGACGGCAGCAGTGTTTGTAGCGTCGCGACTGGCGGCGTGCTTTCAGCTCTACTGCTCGGCGTTGGTCGTTTGCCCGTGTCCCCTATTTTTTGCGGATTGACACGTGATTGTGTGAGGCCCTGCTACAGTGAGCTTGCTTGTTTTTTGGTGGTTTGAAGCGAAACTCCTGCTGAGTGAGCTTGCTTCGGATGATGGTTTTGTCGCACACATAATGGGAAGCTGTCAAGGACATCGATGCTGAATACCAGTACATCCGAGCGTACAGGCCTCAGACGATTGTCAGACCATCAAAAGAAGCATGTGTGGATTATCGTGGGGAATTGAACTGAAGATCCTAATCTGGTGAGCAAAAATATCGCTCCTGGTGAAAATGCCCAAGGGGAAACCGAAAGAACCTTTCTGGGCGTGGCGGGGGGGGGGGGGGGGCTTTTTTGCTCTCCGTATCCACTGGAAAGCTCTGCCGACTTGAGTGCTGTGTATGACGACGCAGAGGGGGGGGGATAGCCCTCGAAGGCTCCTCAGCATATTACCTGGAGCTGTTGGTCCCAGTTGCAGCTTTAGGTGAACACATGCTTTCCCTTCGGTGGTTGGAATTTTGGAAGCGTTGCGTTGGTTACCTAATTCAGTGGTTTGGATATTGGGGATCACAACAAACACAGTGCAGGTTCCGAACTGCGCAACGGTTCCAGATGCGTGCCCCAAACACAATACTCGCGCCTGTATAGCTGTTTCGAAGGTTGGTATCATCGTTTTAGATTGCGGGGAAAAGTTCGGGCGCGTCCTGCAGGGCTCATGGCCAACATCGCCAACATATGTTAGTGCAGAGGTCCCTTTCGGGCTGATGCACCTTCACCTTTGCGGTAGGGTTAGTACGGTTATATGCCTCTTGCTCTTGAGCAAGTCCGTCACGCAGTCGTGGGTCCGGTGGATGGCCTACATGTTTTGCAAGTAAAATCAAGCACACTCAACAAACCGTGGGAAATCACCCTCTTTTGTAGAGGTTCCTCAATGCTCGCCCAGTTGTTCAATAGAACGGCTTGCTGTTTGAACATGGGAATTACCTTTTGCCCTGTCGAAGTGTGGGAAATCACAGTAAGAGTTAGAGGCTTTCCTTCTTCCCTCCGTCCGCCTGGATGTTCTGAGGCTGCAACAGGCGCGTGAACAGGAGGAGGCGGACCGAATGAGGCGCACTTGCGCAATTCGCCCGGATTGCTCGAGGGGCCTCGGCAGGGAACCCGCTTGGAGCCCTTTCAGACGAGAAATGCGAAAACAAACGCCACTCCCCCTTTCCTTGCTGCTGCGATAGGTCGTTCCCTTGCGCGTGTTGAAAATGAACCGGTTTTTGGGGATTTTCTTAAAAGAAGCCGACTCCGGGATGCTTTTGGTCAGGGTCATTCCACTTGGCTCCCAGGCATCCGGTTGTTTTTAGCTGTTTAGATCTTTTTAGCTTCTTTAGTAGTGGTTGGTGATTTCCATATTTAACCCGCTAAAAGGGAGTCACTTTCAGCGGAAAAATCTGAAAACGGGCAGCCCGGTTCTCGCAGCGAGTGTCTTGGGATCGATCCGTGGCGAGGCCTTTGTCGGAAGAGGAGCGCAATGGACTCATCGAGGGCCTCAAGACCAAGTGGGAGCAGGCGGGGTTTGTTGAATCAGGTTTGGTTCAGTTTTTTTTTTTTGGCCAGGTTAGTTTTTGTTCAGGTTTGTTGAATCAGGCGGGAATTTCGCCGGTCGTTTTTTTTTTTTTTTCTTCGGATCTTGGTTTCTTATTGGATCAGGTTTGGTTCATGAGGTCCAGGTCACCCGCAACAAAGTGGAAGATTTGAACCCCCTGGTTCTTGTAGAGGGCATTTGTGTTTCACTCTTACCTCCAAGCCAACATCTTAATCTCCAGTTGAAAAGCTATCGTGACCAGAATTTCAGGAACTCTGCATTTGTAGCGACAACTGGATGCTTGTCTCGCAGGCCTTTGGACTGAAACTTGTCGGAAGGTTTGTTTTGCTGCGTGCGCAACACGCTTCAGACGGTTCCAATAGCCACCAGCCATCCGGGTGAGGCGGATGCACAGACCTTCACATGTTTGTCTTGGCCAACCTGTTTTGCGCTGAATCCTTTTCCTTGTCCAAAAATCATGCGGCCACCTGAAGTCGCTTGCTTGGTTCCACATGCAACCGGATTGGTGGCTGAAACCCTTGGTTTCAAGTTTGCATGCAACCCGGGTATGTACTTGCTTGGTATCCCACCTGAGTCGCAATCGAAACCTGGTACTAAAATGGTCTACCCAGAACCATGTACAGGATTAAGAAGGCGGATATCCGCAGCTATTTATGCGTGGGATCGTCCCTTACCAACCCTCTGCCCGGGTTTTGGGGCCGTGGCTCGCCTGTTTTCATGGTAACCCTTCGTAGGGCCTTCCAAACCGCGGGGCCCCGGAGCTTGGCCAAAACGGGCCGCTGGATGCCGCTGGATCATTCAGAACTTTGGTGCAAATTTTGCCAAGAGATGTTAGGACTGAATACCTTTTTGATCCAACTCATGGGTTTTCCGAATTAAAGAACGAAAAGTTAAAAACCTTGAGTAGGGGAGCAGATTTCGCAACCGAGAGAAGCTATTGACGCCGCTCGCAAAAGAAGGTGCCCATGGCACCAAGCAACTGCACGGAGGTCCCTAGCCGACCGGGTATTTTTTACCCAGACGCTCCCGATTGATTTTGGGCCTTCAAACAGCCAGGTTTTGAGACCCCAAAACCCCTTTGGGATGTCCAATGGAGGGTCTGAGTCTTCCATTGGAGGCCCCAGGAGCGTCTGGGTAGGATGTATTGGTGGAGGTTTCAATTCAACCCACTCAACATTAAGCTTGAGCGGGGGATCTGAGACAGCCCAAGTCTTGCTCAGGTGAATACCGCCTACCAGGCTGGCATGGACCGAAAGGCGTTCGAAGTCGTGTTTTGGACTCCTGTACTTCCAGTTGCTTCAGAACATGTTTGATTTTCCCCTGTTGGTTGTAAAGGGAATGTATCACTACGGGGAAATATTGTTAATTGCTTCAGGGGACTTAAGCAAATGGACGTTCACTTAAACTTGACACTTCCTCAAACGAAGGTGCGTTTCAAGAATGCCCGGATTAGGCGCTTGAGCAAAACGGAGTGCTAGTTAGGTCCTTTTGGCATGAGTAGAACTACACGTGGGTTCCACTGGTTGCGATGGGTTTCTCATGGGCCGGTCGGGCGTGCTTGAGGGCAACCCATGGCAGCTCTTGCGATTGGTTTCTCGCGAGCGTCAGTGGGTGCTTGCTCGCCTGCGGGGTAGGGAGCGTTCCTTACTTGGGTCGCCATGTTGCGCAGGCTCCTGGTACCTGGTAGCGATCTTGTTCTTTCAGTCAAGGCGCCGGATATGCAGCAACTCCCGCCACCTGCCAGGGTGGCACGCACATCACAAAGCTGGACACCATGGGCAAGATGAAGCGCAAGGACGGGCGCAAGTTCAACAGGGGGCGAACCGATGGTAACTATACTGGATGACAAGATGAACAAACACGCTGGTGAATTCATAGAAACTCCCTACACATGTGCGACTGTCAACAGGTCACCAGCGTGCGCCTCTCAGAGTATGATGTTGGTTTTAGCCTGCCTCCAGCAAAAGTGAATGCTGGGTCAGTGTGAAGGGAAAAACCACGCGGGACCGGTGTGTGGCTTTGAACCTCCCTGCCGGTTTTTCTGCCACGCCATTGACTCGCCGCGATTGGTTGGCTTTTGACCTTTCGATGCCCAGGCTTGGTCCGCAGCTTGACCCGTTTCACTTGCCGGGCCTCCATCCAGATGATCCCCACGCAAAAATACGATCAAGATATCCTTCTTCTTGTCGTTGTTGGTGGTGGTGCTGGTTTCTTTTGGTGTCTC